CCGGGGTGGGGGGTGGGTGGGTGAGAGGGAAATGTTGGATTTGTTTCACACACAAATTTCACTTTGTGAATTGCTTCGTGTTACCCTAGAAGAGCCGTGTGTGTGTGTGTGTGATTGTTTTCCAAGTCTGATTTCTACCGTTCTGTGGGGCAAACAGACTGTCAGACTCAAATGTCTCCCGATACTGTGTGAATGAATGTCATAGGCATACACTATATACATGAAATAAACAATATCAGGCATCATGTGTTTCGATTTGTGTTCTTGACAGTAATTCAATGCCAGACACAGACCACGCACGCACGCGCACGCACGCACGCACTGACTCCCGATTTAGAACCATCCAACGAGAGGGCTCAGTTTACATTTATTCCGTGCCTTCTGACGAAACATTAGGGTCAATTATCTCTTAAACGGACGAGTTGGAATCGGTTTCGGCGCACCCCGTGTGTTGCACAACTATGGCGGTTTGCGATTAGACAATCTACAAGACAAACACTTGTTTTTTTTCTGGTTTCATTTCGTTGTTGTCTCGGGGACAAACAATGCACGTATTTACATACTGTTTTGTGTAGGTGCGTTTTGGGGCTACAACGGAAGTGCAGCAGCAATGCTGTTTGTTTGTCAAAAGACATCTTGGTCAGGTTTCTCATCCATTCTAAACATGTGTGATTTGGAAATCAGGTGTATCCATGTCTGATAAACAATGTATTTAAACCAGGAGATCAATCAATGATCAAACGGTAGACGTCAGACACGAGTGAAAAAAACATTATGTTGTGGTACAGAAATATTTCTGGTTTTCCCCAAATTCAGATGACAGATAGACTTGAGAGAATGAATGGGCAATAAGCATGAGTTTTCTGGAAAACAGATCGTGAGAGAGATCATTTTCAGTCACATGATAAAGTGCATTATCCTGTCGCACTACTATGCGAAAATACTTTGCTTGAAAATCTGCATGAAACATTGGGCAATCTCTTGCCCTGTGACCCGGACAGATTCACAATGACACTGAAATTTTCGAGTACACACGGCGATTTGTTGGGTC